GGCTGATGGTTAAAAATTCTAAGAGTCTATTTCTAAAGAGACCACAAAAAGATCCATCACAGTGGGCATATGGAAGAGTTTGTCTGGATACTAAGACAATATTTGGCAGAATTAAATAAATCATGTGACTAAAGAGAAAGAAAGCTCATTTAATTTCAAGTACTTTATTATTTTTTTTCTCATTAATTTTATTCCTAGTTTGAAAAGAAAACCTATGCATGGTTTACATGTGAGTTTGATTGGACGCATGTTCTCAGGAAGCAAGCTGCATGCCAGTAGAACCAGGTTCGTTATCATACATGAAATAAGACAAGGGAATAAAAATGAGCTAAAGAATTGATAATATCATGTACCACTATCCTTTCTTTTAGCATGTCTTGAGCATATGGATATATTTAAAGATTTCCTTTATGTTGAATAATATAAAAGACAGATCCAATTGATTTTATATAATAGGCTATTTCAAAGTAATGAATTAGCTGAACTAATGCTTCCTTGCAAAATAAATAATTCTGAAAGAAAATAGATCTTTATTCTTAAATCCTCCTCCCTTCTCAATTAATTAGACTTTGTTGGTGAAAGGAAGTTAAGAAATTCAGTATAAGTCTGATTATATCATGAATGTAAAATGAGCAGGGCAAATAATGGGCTCTATACTCTTTTAAACAAGTTAAATACGTCCATAATAGCCCACCAGTTGTGTAAACACTATTTCACTATCCTTGTAAAAGAAATATTGACTTACCTGTTAACTAAAATTATCCTGGCATGCTTCAACTAAGCTTATTAGTAATTCCTGTGGTGTACATGAATGTTTTTAGATTTGGACTTTTATCAAAGATTAAAATATTAGGAAATCATCCGTTTAGCAAGCCCAAAAAAATAGACACGTACCAGACTGCCCTTTATAAGAATCGATTTTAGGAACTTGCAAACTAAAAGTCTAAGAAGTAAAAAGTGATTTAAATCCTGGCATGAGATACTCCATTACACAATAGCTCATTAACACTGAGATACCTTCCAAAATCATAAATAAGAATATATCAACTAGGCAAAATACTAAATAAATATACTTTTTAGCTTTTTAGTCTTACTATCCCATAGAAGGGGGTTGTTTCCCTCTGACACTTTAGTATATAATCTTGTAACTGGTTGCTGAGAGAAACTAGAAATATAGATAATTAAGGGCAAAAAAAAGTCTCACACTTGACCCTATTGTTCACATTTTAAAAAATCACTATTCTTTCCCCAACTTGTTCCAATGCACTCCAAAAATACTACACTTTTCTTTACCAAAAATATGTGAATTTCTCAATATTAATAGTAAGCCCAAGATCCTATTCAGTTAAGTCTATACATGCTTAGAATTCCCAAGAGATTTAGAAAAGGGCACAGAACTTAAAGTTAGAAGACTCGGGTTAGAATATTGGTTCCATCACTTATTTATTGGTCACCATTAGGAAAACCACTTGCATTTTTATCCTTCAACTTGAGGTTAGAATAATACCTGCCTCCTAAGATTGTTATGAGGACCCAGTGAGAGCATGTGAATGTATAAAGGGCTGAACCAATACTGATGGTCATTGTCATGCAATTTGAGAATTTGATCTTTTCAATTAAATGGTATATGCTACAAAACAGAAAGATCACTACTCAGTGGCCTTACTAGAATATTCTTCCTCTTCTTCTATTTTTTTTAATCCTCACCTGAGGATATTTTTCCATTGTTTTATAGCGTGGAAGAGAGAGGGAAAGACAAAAATATCAATGTGAGAGAAACATATAGATTGGTTGCCTCCTACAAGCGCCCCACCCAGGGCCCAGGCCAGGGAGGATCCTGCAACCTAGGTACCTGCTCTTGACCTGAATTGAACTTGGGACCGTGCAAGCCAACACTCTGTCCACTGAGTAAAACCAGTTAGGGCTAGAATATTCTTTTCGTGTGTGTGTGTGTGTGTGTGTGTGTGTGCTGTATTTCATCTTTGTCAGCTAAAATAAAGTGATTAACATACATGCCTTCAGGTAATAAAATCACCATTAGCTGAACCATTCTTATATTCACCCCATGGTTTTCTATGTTTTAAGTTCTAAAAGACCTTGAGTTTTCAAGCTTCTTAAGCTTTCAGGTTTTTACTGAGTATTTTTGACTGCCAATGATCACCACTAAGTCCTCACTCACTACCACTAAGTCCTCACTCACTACCTCAAGCAACAGAACAAAACTGATTGGTTCATCCAATTGGGAGATAATGGAGTAGAAATGGCTTTAGCTCCGGGTGCTTAAAAGATGACCTTGAGATTTTACTTCTCTCATTCTAATGCTAACTTTCCATATCTGTGGAGCTTTCTCCACAAGGCAGAATGGCAAGGCCCCTGAGCTCTAAATTTCCTTGAGCTCATTGAAGCCAGAGGAGATCTTCTCACCCCAGGGTCCATCCCCCAGACAGATTCAGATTGCTCTACTTGGGTCATGTAGGTATCTACCCAGAGGTAGGGAGGCGGGGCCACAGGAATGTAGCTCTACCAGAATCACCTAAGGTTTGGGAGATAGTTTCTCAAAGGAAAAGTGCGGAGCGCTCTTACCAAAAGGAGAGAGGAGAAATGTTGGGCATGCAATAAAAATAAAGTAACAGATGTTCATTTCACCTGGCTTCCCATATTTAATTGAATCAGAAATCCTTCTGCTCTGCATGAGTTTATTACCAAGCTTTAATTTCTAAAAAGAAAGGCACCAACAGAGGTTGAAAATCTACTCTGCTATAGTCCAAGTTCCAGACATGTTAACATTTAGAACCATGTACCTTTGACAGGGATGGTAGCTAAGACTTAGATAGGCTTATTCTGTGCCTCTCATCAAACAGCCTCAAACCGGCAGAACCCGGATTCAAAGCTAGCTCTGCCGGATTCATTCCACTACCAAAGCGCTAAGATCTTTTTAGCAACCCTGCAGTCAAAGAAAAGTCCTTATATGGTAGACATAATCATATTTGGATAACTGTGCTGATAAATCAATCAGTCAATAAATATTTGCTCATTTCCCACTACTATGAGCTTATAGTATATAGTATGGTATATAGTAGAATAGTATGCAGGTAAAGACAGCTGGCCTAGTCCCGGCCTTCAAAATTGTCAACAAAGTTGCCAAAACAAAACAAATATGCAATGGAGAAAACTTTAGATTTAAACTATGTGATATTTATAACATCCCCTTCAGTGAGATTCATTCTATAAGTGTGAAAAGAATGGCTGGGAGAAGCAAGAATAATGTGAGGATAAGCAAAGGAATGGTAGTGGGTGTGGGATGCCCAAGGAAAAATGAAGGAACAGGCTAGCATTGGGCACTGCACTGATATCCAACAACCAGGGTTAACTCACAGTTTTCAGCAGCTACTGTCAAATTTTCCAAACTCTCTGGGCCAGAGTTCCTTTATTTGCAAAATGAGGAGGATGGAGTCTATAAATCTTAGCTTCTCTCTCTCCATCTAATCCAGAGAATCACAAACTTACTAATTATGGGATTCACCCAAGAAAAGAGCATGTTTAGCATACAAATGTAGGTCCAGGAATCTATAATTTTTTAATAATTTCCACAAGTGATCAGCCAGCTTTGAGAATCACGTCTTAAATGAATGAGGTTAAATATACCTCACACAGAAGGAGGGAGGGAAATCTTCCCAACTGTAAAATTCAGAAGCTCATATGGGAAAGTCATCAGAACAGGCTAAATGGAAGGTTATGAGCGACCTTGAAAGCCAAAAGGGCTCTCTGCTCTCATGAAGCAAGGAGGCATTGTGCCCCGGAGTGAAAATTGTGCATTTTTGTGAGTTGATGTGGCAGGCTTGGGCCCTCACCTCTTTCAGCCACTCCCTCAGGTCTGGAAACACTGACTTGTTTCTCCCTGAGGCCTTCTCTCCCAGGAAGCCCTGAGTCCTCTTCCTCCTTTCGCCTGCAGGCTGGATGTGGGACACACGTGTGTAGGAGCACGCATGTTGCAGTGATTCTGGAGCCCAGCGCCTCTCACCTGGGTGGGACTGTGCTTACTTAGGGAACTCAGGGACACTTAGGATGAAGAGGCCTCGGACAAAAGCAAACAGCCATCTCTCTGTCTCTCCCGCAAGGTTTTAGTAAAGGTGACTTCCAAAGGATCCTCAAACGCTGAGAATACAGTCACTTCGACGACGGCTCACCGAGGAGTTAGGAAGGCAGCATTGGCGGGCTTGCTGCTTACAAGTTGCATTTACTAGCATGTAGCCACTACCCCAGCACCTTGATTTTAGGGCAAACGCGAGCCAGTGGGGCATGCGGTAAGGATGAACAAGACCACCCCATCATCCGCCTGGGGACGCCTCCTCCTTCTGGATTGGATTTTTGTCTTTTTTTTTTTAAGCACTCCACGTATTTCATCCTTTATTTGAAGTGGGCTTGGAGGAAGCGTGTGGCATCCTTTGGTCCCGCGCGTCCATCTGTGTCCCTCTGAAGCAGGTCTCTTCGGGCTCTCGGATCTGGGTCGCCAGGATGCGACAAGGAGTAAGGGTGGGAGCCCCCCTGCGTCTCACCCGATGCTACGCGCGGGAGTCCGCCCCCCGGAGGCAAAGTCGGAGCGCAGAGAACGGCCTGCTCCGCGCGCCGCCAGCTGCCTCCGGCCCCGGACTCAGGAGAGGAGGGAGGGAGCCGGAGGAGGGAAAGTGGGGCCGGGCGGGGGGTGCCTGGGAAGCCGGCTGCGCTGACGTCACTGGGCGCGCAATTCGGCTGGAGCGCTTTAAAAAACGAGCGTGCGAGCGGAGATGCTGCTCCACACCGAGCAGGCCGCCGGGAGCAGCACCGCTCCCGGTCCCCACAGCGGCCGCAGCCAGGGCCGCTCCGGAGGTCCGCGTGGCGACAGCGGGCACGGTCCGGCCCCGCGGCGCTTCTCCTCCGCGCCCCGCCGGGGGTTAGGAGCGCGCCGGCTGAACCGCAGACGCCGGCGGAACCGCGTCCCGCGCGCCCCGACCCGCAGCCACCCAGACGCTGCCCGGCGACCGCGTCCCGCTCGCGGACCCTCTTGCCCGGGGCACCATGGACACCTTCCTCGGTCCGCGCGCTCCTGACCTTTCCGGTCTGCTGCAAGCTGGCGGCCGGGGGGTGGCTCGCCCAGACCCGGCGCGCTGCTGCGGGGGTGCCCCGCGCACTGTCAGTGCGAGCCCGACGGCAGGATGCTGCTCAGGGTGGACTGCTCGGACCTGGGGCTCTCGGAGCTGCCCGCCAACCTCAGCGTCTTCACCTCCTACCTGTAAGTGCGCCCCCACTCCACTCCGAGATGGGGGGACACGAGGGGCAGGGAGGCTACCTGAAAACCAGGCGGGGGGCTCCTCGGCTCCCGCCGGCTCCGGAGGGGCGGCCGAGTTTGCTCAGGGCGTCTGGGGCCCCGGGGAAACGCACGTGTCTCCGCCGGGAGGACGACCGCACTTTCTGGGCCCCCAGAGAAGCGACTCGGGCGCAATCCCGGGAACGCGCTGGTGCGCCGCAGCCTCCCGGTCCAGCCCTAGGGAAGTGGCAGAGCGAATTGCTCCGAGTGTAGGCATTTGCCTGCAGTGTGGGCATTTGTGCCGCCGAGCCTGGAACCCAAGGGCGGGCTGCCGGTGGGTCCCTGCCCCAGCCTCTCCTCCCCTCCCCTCCCCTCCGTGTCTGGTCACGCTCCACGGAGAGATGGGCTGCAAAAAGTTCCCCCAAAGGAAACCGCCAGCTAGCCCAGCTCTGAAGGAACTTACTCTGCATCCCTTGCACGGTCGCGTAATGTAACATTTTTCTTTCTTTCTTTTATCTTTTTTTTTTTTTATGAAGTGATTAAAATGTGGCAACCACAGACCCGATTAGAGCTGCCAGAACGTTATCTTTACCTTTGGCTGCTCGAGCCGCCCTTTGAAGTGCCGGCCGCCACGGTGTAATCTTTAACCATCTCCTCCTCCCGGGAGGGGAAGGGAAGTGGGCTGAAGGCGGCGGGGCGGGTAAACAGCGGCGCGGACACGCGAGAGGAGACCTGGAATTCTCCGCCATCCCTTGCAGATCCTCATACCCCTTCGGTCCCCAAACACAACCCCTGAAGGCCATTCCGCGGAGATGAGGCAGCGGTACATTTCATAATCTCGTCTCTGGAAAACCCAGGCCCGGAGGGTAACAGGTGGTTGGGTGGTTGGGGCGGATCAGGAGAGACCAAGGCCACCGCTCTCCCTCCCCCTAAGGAGACGCTGGGGCTCGGTGCCTTGGGGCTGAGAGACAGGGGTCGAGGCTACTCTGCTGACGACAAGGTGACACATTGAGGCTTTAATTGGAGCCCACCCCAGGCCCACGCAATGTTAGTTTCGGCTTCTCTCATGTACCTTGGCAGGAGCTAGTTGGGATGTTTGTGAACTCATTCTTTCCTCATTTTAGTTGTTTTCTGGAGGGAAGAAGCATGAAAAGGCTTGCACAACGCCTTCCACGAAATAGTGATTCTTTTTCTGGAGACAGACTGTTTTCTGGAGGGAAGAAAAATACATTTTTTTGACTTGTTTAATTTGCATTTAAAGAAATGGACCATCCTGCTAGATTTTGATATCAGTAGATGGCGATCCCCTCCTCATCTGCCATAAAACTGTTTTAACTTCTTTACCCAAAAGGTTTATACAATTATCTATTTCCCCACCAGGCTTCCCTTCAATGGCACTCATTGCCTGTGGCAGTGATGTTTTCACAATGATAGAAATCTCTCCTAAGTGACCATTCTCTGAGAATTCACATTCCCTCCCCCAAACAGCTGTCTGTACTACAGAGTGAAATGCTCATCCCCAATCTCTCTGCTTTAACTGCGAAACTCCGTGTTTCAAGAATCATGTGTTCTCTGTATAGTGGATTTCTGAGAGCGAAGAGGCAATTTCACGTAAGAGCACAGGACTGTTCTTTGCCATCACCCCGAAGAAATTGACTATCTGAAAGAGAAGTGTGCAATCCCCCCAAACGCTTAGCTATTGAAACCATACACTCATGTAAAACATGTTTAAGAATACAGAAAATAAAATCATGAATAGTGTCAGGATGCTTTCTTCCCGCTTGAAAGGAGGAACATTTGTTAGGCTTCTGTTGCTAAAATTTGGCATGAAGTGTTGCCTCAAAGCGTTTCCCACATACTGCAGATGCATTTCACTGCATCCTCCACGTGCTCAGGAGGTCTTACTGCCACTGGTCGCCACCTATAGTTACAGACAACTCCTTGGAGTTAAGACACCGTTAGGAAATTGTCATCTTCTCACACTTGGTGATGACAGCCTGTAGCTCGGCCTAAGGGGAAATGTTCTTAAACTCGGAGTGTCTGTGAAAGTGTTATGGTGAATGTTAAATACTTGCTTCTAATGGTTAACATTTCAGGGACCATGTGTGCACAATGTAGAAATCAGTCCTGAAGTAAAAAACCAAACTGTTTTTCTTCTTAATACTCGATTTTAGAATTTGCTCTCCTATAGAAAACAAGGTGCCAAGGCCCATGGGATGCCCTTCCCTCATGGGTAGAAGGTTTGGGGGGTTTTGGTATTTTTGTTTTTTACAACCATGGGAAATCTGTGCAGACATTCAGGGTAAATGGCGCCCTCTTTTGGTTACACCTAGAATTACCTAAACATTTCTACCTTCCCTTATGCACTCATAACCTAAAAGAATTTTTATTTACTCATATTCAAATAAACAAGCATGTATCTTACTGTTTTTCTTGTTTAAAGAAATAACTGTCTTTGCTTTGAAAGGAAACAGTAAGTTACAGCCCCATGCCACTGGGGCCTGGCGGTAATTAAGCTTTGATGAGAAAGTTGCAGTGTGTAAAGACTCCTGGGTAAAAGGCCAGACTTTACTGTCTTTTTTGTTTGTAGTAGGTTATCACCATTTATTTGAGTCAAAATGTTATCTCTTAATCTTCCTCCCTTCTCCACAAAAGAACAAGCATTTCATTTTCTTCAAACAGATTAATGATGGCAAGTTCCAGCTGCACACATTTGGCAAATAGATTTTACCACAATCTGAGAGCTGACTAGTCAGACTCCTAGGTGAAGAAAGTTTCCTAACTCTCTTCATAAGAAGCTAGAGCTCTTTAAGTGCATTTTTATAGCCTTTCTTTCTTCCCCAGAAAAGCTAAATCTTCAGCCAACATTAATAGTAACTCTCTTCTCTTTCTGAACTGCATTGCACAGTAGATCTGTAGTTGGACCACAGAACATGGTGGAAACTAACTCTCTTTCTCTCTCCTTCTCTCTCTCTCTCTCTCTCTCTCTCTCTCTCTCTCTCTCTCTCTCTCTCTTTCTCCCCTCGGTGGCTATGGGCTCTGATTTTATAAAAGGGACTAATAAAATAAGGAAACCACCAAGGTTGAGACATTAAAGTAAACAATAATTGTTGACAATGTTAAATGCATCTCAATTTACCAGTCATGATTTATCAGAAATAAAGTAGTTCTAGCTTATAATCTCATTATAGGTGAGTTGTCTTAATGTACAAAATGTGAACATTTTGAAAATACATTCAAATAGCTCTTGAAAATAAGCTCCTCTATCCTACTTTGATATGTCTTTCATACAGTTAATGTGGCATCCAAGTAGAAAACTAAATTCTAATGAACATCCTAATATAGCAAATATTCTTTTCTTGATCTACAACAGCCATTTTATCTTTAAATGAGAACAGAGTTTTTTTCTTGCTGTTGCTGAAGGACATGAACATTTCATCCATAAAAATGTATGTCACATGAACCAAAGGAACCAAAGAAAGATTTGTTTTTTAATTTAATGTATGTAGTTTGGTTAATTTTCCATATGTAGCTTTGGAACAAAATTTAATTTTACATGTAATTAGTAAAATTGGTATTAATAAGAACCTATCAAAAACCTCAGTTAGTTAAATTAAGTACAGCCCTGGTGTCATACATGTGTTTTAAGTATTTAAAATGCAGTTTCAATATTTAAAAACATTTTTTAATCTTTAAAATGGTTTTCTATATTTCTGCCTCCCTTCAAGAAAGAAAAGTATATTAAATAAAGGAAAATGTTTGTCCTTTAGTAATGGTTACAAAAGCCTTAACTGTTATAACAGTCTTAAAATTTATATCAATTCCAAAATTATAGTTTGCTCTACAACATACTTTTAAAATTAATTTAAAATATAATGATGCCAGTGACTTTTCTGCATTTTAATCAAGTTCTTTCCTTTACTCCAGTATTCCCAAGGTTATTATTATTATTATTATTATTGAGTTATTATTATGGAAGCAATTATTGAAACTAATTGACGAAAGTAGTCTGAGTGATTTTTTTTAAAGTAGTGGCTCTGAGTCAAACAATTTTTAGTGTAGATTTAAAATAAATATTTTACTGAATATGTTCATCATATGCATGACAGAGTTTGTGTGACAAGAATGAATTTTTTTTTAATATTTTATTGATTTTTTTACAGAGAGGAAGGGAGAGAGATAGAGAGTCAGAAACATCGATGAGAGAGAAACATCGATCAGCCGCCTCCTGCACATCCCCCACTGGGGATGTGCCCGCAACCCAGGTACATGCCCTTGACCGGAATCGAACCTGGGACCTTTCAGTCCGCAGGCCGACGCTCTATCCACTGAGCCAAACCGGTTTCGGCAAGAATGAATTTTTAGATACAGTTAAACATGATCGCCAATCTTTTTCCTTCTTATTCATTGTCTTCAAAGTAAAGGAGTTCTGGTAAGCAACAACAGGTAGCCATCACAAATGAGTTAGAAGATTGGAATAAAAAGAGAAAAATTTTTAATTTAATTTAAAAATTTAAATTAATAAAAAGAAGATTGGGATAAAAAATAACCTTTGTAGGTTAAATAAAGCTATTTTTTAAATAATGGAACCATTCCCGCTTGGATGTATTTAAAGAAGTTCAGAAACACAAAACTGGTCTGTGATTTGTCATGGTTAAGTTTTATTAATTAGAATTATTTGATTGTTTTTTATTTCTAAGACAGATAGCTGTCACCTGGCTGGTGTGGTTCAGTGGTTGAGCATCAACCTATGAACCAGGAGGTCACAATTCAATTCTCAGTCAGGGCACATGCCCGGGTTGCATGCTCTATCCCCAGTAGGGGGCATGAAGAAGGCAGCCCATCAATGATTCTCTCTCATCATTAATGTTTCTCTCTTCCTCTCCCTTCCTCTCTGAAATCAATAAAAATATATTTTAAAAAATAAAACAGATAGCTGTCAAAAGCATAGGAATGATAAGCAAATAAGCAATTAACCCAATAAA